TTCCTTTGGCAGAGACAAATAGACAGAGCCAGACCCTCCGGCATCCCGGCTGCTGCTTCTGCACTCAGATGTGATAAACCTGTCCCAGGAGAAACCCCAGAAAGCAGTGTCTCAGCCTGAAGGGGATCAGCCCCAGGGCAGGATGAGTGCTATACGGCATGGCACCGGGCCGGGACCCCGTCTCAAACCTCGCAGCCTCACACCCCGTGCCTGTCCCTGTGTTTCGGTGCAGGATCTCAGTCTGCGCCCTGCAGCCACTGCGGGGCAAGGACCAAAGAATGGCCCCTTGCTGAGATCTCCCTCCTCGTCCCTGCCAATGTCTCCAAATTAGGGATGTTATTAACTACAAGCTGCTTTTCCCCTGACTGCTGCTTGCACAAATGATAACTGATTTAAAATGAATTGAGCCAATTACTGCAGTTTTCCTAAAACAGATGATGGCAATACTTGGGTAAGGAGGAGCAATCCCAGCTGCAGTGGGGATAAGAGTTAGACACTGAAATGCCCTTTGGGCCTGAATTTCCAACTGTCACGGTTTCCTGGCGAAGTCTGGCTGCTTTCTTCAATTGCATGTGAATTTAGGTGGTAGCAACGGGGGGCTGCTGAGCAACTTCAGGCCAACAGCAGAGAAGGTGATGGTACCTGCTCTGTGTGCAATTATCTGCTATGAATGAGTGATGCTGGAATGATTCTTCCTGATTGCAAGCAGTGCCTGAAAATATCAATGTATTTATGGAAAAGTGGAAAGAACTCCTGAGTGATTTTTCAAGGGTGGGACCTTGGGGCTTGGTTTGGGGATCTCCCAGCTCCTTGGGGCTGGTGCACACGGGTATTTCCCGTATGGGAAAGGTTTGGGTTGTCCAAGGGTCCTAAAGGGTAGCTCCTGCCCCAGGTTATTTAACCAAATGGTTAATTCATAGATATGCCAAGAGGTCTGCCGTGCCCAGATCTGATCTGCATATGAAGTTCATCAAATTTTAAAGAACAATAATTGTCACTGGATGTCTTGTCCTTGTAATATGAGGAGCTTTAGTGAAAAGAAAACATAATGAAGATCGATTAAAGCTTAACTGTGTGAAAATGGGTTAAGGAATTTTGAAATCAGGTTCCCATTTGTCTGCCTTTCCAAATCATGGGAAATACTGATTTACTTGCACCAGCAGCAGTGATAGCACGCCATGGTCCCAGCAGAGACGGTGAGGAGTGACATGTGCCACCAGGTCTCTGGGATGGGGACAGGCTGAATCCTGCATGGGTCCTCAGCCAGCTCAGTTTGCCACGAGGTCTGAGCCCTTGGTAGTTTTGGTTGGGGCATGCAAACATCGCAGGCTGAGCTGAGGAAGAGGCTGGGCATGACTTCCTCATGCCAAGGGTGGCGAGTGGCCGGTGCCCAGGCTCTGTCTCGCTGAGGATGGTGGGGCTGAGCCCCTGTGCCCATCGTGTTCCCTGGTTTGGCTGCAGCCCCCCAGGCCTGGGTTTCCCTCTGCCAGGAGATAGATGCCCCTGGACACGATAGTCCCCTTTGATGCAGCTCACACAAAAGCTTTTGGAATTGAGATTAGATGAGCTGTTGCAAAATCAATTAGTGATAAAACCCTGTGGGCAAAGCGCACAATTGTATCATTTTATTATGTTGCCATCTGAGCAGTAAAAATACATAGATATACACGTATAAAACAATCTGAAACACTGGGTCAGAAATCTGGGCTCCTGCTGTTTCCCTCTTAATCTCTTATTAAGTGATATATCTTCTGATTGCTTTTGTCAGCTCTCTAAATTTAATAACTGAACTAACCATCTTCTCCTATTGTTCGCATATAAATAAGTGTTGGATCGATAAAGAACATCTTTAAAAGCCCCTGGATTTGAAAAATGAGGGGAGCATGGCTTGGTGGGCAGTTGCAAGAAAATTATGACTTCACACCTCCAAAGCACAGTGTTTAAAACAAGGACAGGTGGACAAAAAAGGAAGACCCCTTTGATGAGATGGGTTCTGCTACTGAAAGGTTGAATCGATGAGGGCTGGATGAGGTTTCAGCTTTTGGCTGCAGATTGTCTGGCTGTTGCATTCCTCCCCTATCCCTATGGTTTTGGAGAAACCAGTGATGCAACTTGGAGGCTTTAATTTTTTGCAGAGATTTGTTCAAGTAGAGGTGAGCGTTGTCATCAGCTGCCACTGCGGGGCCACCTCGGATAGCGAGGGGCTGGAGGCAGAAGCAGTGGGGTTGCTCTCTTAGGATGGGTTTATCTTTTTATTCCCATCTGCAGCCTCTGCCCCAAATAAAGCAGCTCCTCCTTTGCACCGTGGAGGACTTCAATCTGTCTGATTTCAAGCTGCCTGCACTTTGAGAGCATCACCAGCCAGCCACGCTCGGGTCACTGCACGCACACAGCCGGTCCAGGCAATATCCACCTCAAGAAGGCTCCTTGCAGCGGGGTAGATGCACCAAGGAGGTAAAACTATTCTGCTGGAGAAAATTCCCTCTACAAAGCATCCCTGGGGCTGCAAGGGCAGGCCGGGTGCTCGTGACCTCCACCGGCTTTGCAAATGGCGCTCGCTTGTCCGCTGCGGTGTCACGGGGGGGTGACACATCTGGCGAGGCAGCTGGCTGCTGAGTGCAGGTGGGGTGGGCCAGAAGGCATCGCTGCCAGCATCTGCCGCTGCCCAGCCAGCCCCAGCACCGCAGGGCCGGGGCGTTCTGCGCCATCTCTCTTGCGCCCATGGGAAATCCGGCTGCAAAGCCTCAGCCTGCTCCGAGGAGCTCCCTGGCTCTCCGGAGCTCCCCGTTGGGGTCACGGGCTGCTGTTATCCCCCTCCAGCGTCTGCTACATCGTTGTGAATTCTTCCAGCGTTGCTGCATGGCAGCAAAAGGCAAGCAGCCCTCAACTATAACTGCAGCATTTAAAAAAAGAAAAAAGTGGGGGGGGATACGCAGCCAGGCACCGTGCTCTCTTCAGGGCGTGTGGTTATGGAGGGTTGCGTTCCCATAATATATTGCACTCAAAAGTCTAGGGGGTGAGATAAGCAATGCCGAGGAGGCTTCCTTCGCACGCGGTGTGTTCAATCACTCACTATAAAAAAGCCCCGGTGCCTCCGCTCCTCTGCTTCTCCCTCGCTTCAAAGAACAAAAGGAAATGGGCTTGTTGCTTTGTAGGCGAAGGAAAGGAGGCTCCCGAGACCTGGGGAGAGCGGGTCATGAATTATTCAGCGTAGCTGTTGGTGCAGGAGTGGTGCCGAGACCTGTTCCTGCGGTGACCCCAGCATTGGGCCCTGGCCAGGAGCCCCAAATTCGGACGGATGCAGGCGCAGTCCTGCCGGGTGCAGAGGCAGGAGGGTGCCCGGAGAGCTGGGGCTGAGGGCAGTATCCTTCCCCCCCTCCCCAGGGTACGGCTGTGCTGGTGGTTTGGAGCAAAACGTGGTTTCTGTTCCTGCATTCCCATCCCAGGGGCAAGCCTTGGGGTTCCTCCTGGTTTTTGTTACTTTGGACCAAAAAAGGAGGAGAAATGCCTGAGAGGGGATGTGTGTGTGTGCTGAACAGGGAGGGTGGCAGAGGGCGAGAGCCCCGGCAGTAAATGCACTCGGGATTGCGCTCCAGCCGGCTCAGTAACAAATTCACTGACACAGGGAACAATTTTTCCCTGACTCTGCCAATTCCTTAATGACGCTGACTCGAAGGGCCCCGCGGGGAGGGGAACTTGAACTCTGCAAAAAGCTCTCTGCTGAAGCTTTATTTAAGGCTACGTGGGGGATGCTTAAATATTAAAGGACCAAAAAATAATGGCTGGTGGTAGGCTGGGCGGCGAGGGCCATGGCACAAGCATCGGCTGCGCTGTGCACTGTCTGTGTCTCTTTTTGCGTCTAAACCCCTTTGATGCTCCAGATAACAGAGCTGTCACCTTGCTGGGGGTGGTCACTGCTCTCCCCTCTGTGATCTGGGCTGGTCTAACCCACAGATCCTCCTTCCTATGGCTTTCAGGACAGCTCCAGGCTTGTGTCTCCAACAGCAGCATTGCACTTTCTCGGCTGGACACCAGCATCTTGTTAACGCAGCGCAAGAAAAAGGACAAGGACTGGGCATCTGTATTTTTCTCTGTGCTGCTTCTGTTTATTTCTTATTTTTTAATCCCTACTTCTTGAGTGTAGAAGTCCTTGTGCTGACACGATATTATTTATAAAATATGTACAGGAAAGCGCTCGGGTACCTGTCCCACCCTCCAAGGTTGGCTGTGCGTGTCTGGCCAGCAGGAGCGAAGGTGAAAGACGGTTTCTCTGCCTTGGAGTCAGGAGGAGGAGGAGAATGGGAAGGGCTGAGAAAGATAGAGACTTCAAAGTATGTGAGCAAATATTTACAGGTTCCAAGACAAAAAAAATATATCTACAATGTTGTCTTGGGGATACAGGGAGTCAGGCTTGAAGCAAAGCCCGCTCACAGCTCCATCTGTTATATTGAATTATAAAGACTACGGGTATTGATTTCCATCGGCTGTGCCGGCAGCGGGGTGCGCAGCTCTGGCGAGCCCCAGGCTCGGGTGCTGGCAAGGGGCAGCTGGGACCGCTCCAGCCACGGGTTCATGCTTCTGGGGTTTTTGCAATGGTGCTTTCTTAGTGTACTTAATTTTTGCAAATGAGGGCTGAATGCTTCTGTGACACTCCCTTGAGCACCAGGGAAAGGGGATGCTAGCAGGGAGCGTGTTTCAGGGCAGAAGGGAGGAAAATATTCCAGTTTGGGGTTTCGCACTGGCTGCTGCCCTTTTAACGTGATGTGAACAAAGCAGGGGGTTTTGCTGGTGCTTGGGACAGGTCCCCAAAAGCTGACCAGCTCCTGGGAGCTGGGGAAGGGTCCTGGGCTCCCCTGCAAGGGGCTGTGTCAGAGTGGAAGAGCTCAGAGTGCTGTGTTTGCACCAGTGGGTGCAGGGGTGTCCCAGTGAGCGTGCCTGGGGCTGGGGGTCTGCACATGGGGGGGGAAGCTACTGCAGTATGTGCACAGCGAATTGCTTGTGCAGGGGGAGGTGTCGGTGCACAAGGGAGTGACTGCGTGAAATGAGACTGTGGGTGTGTGGGTGTCTGTCTTGGTCCCCGAGCTCGGCAGGTCATGCCAGTTCAAACTGTCCATGGTCTATGCAGGTGACACTTGGCTGGAGGAGACGGATGAGACCTCGGTCTTGCTCTGGGATACGGCAGAGGAGGCGTCTTCATCTCCAAAGGGGTTCTTGCCACAGCAGATTGTGGTGATCATGCAATTACGGAACTGAAGGGGGGAGAGAAATGGAAAACGATGGTATCGGGGGCCAGCGGGGACATGTTGCAGGACCAAGAGCCCCCAACAGTCCCTGAGCTTGCTGCTCCCACCAGGCTGAGATTCACCCACTTCTGGGAAAGAGCAAGGTGCCTGCGGTGACCCCAGACGTGCTGGTAAGCCAAGGGCAGAGGCTCACCCTGCATGACGTGGGGCATCTCACCTGTTTGTTCATGAGGACGTAGATGATGGGGTTGTACAGGGAGGAGCTCTTGGAGAAGAAGGCAGGCACTGACATGAGCGTGGCGGTGAAATCCGCTCCCTTGTTGGTGAAGATCCAGAATGCCACCACGGCGTAGGGCGTCCAGGCCAGCATGAACCCCAGCACCATGAGGATCACCATCCGCGTCACCTCCTTCTCGGCCTTCTGGGTCGTGGCCGACTCCTGCTGCTGGGCAGCTGCCTGCGGGCAGCGCGGGTGGTGAGGGGCACCCTGCAGCTTTCCACCCCCGGACCATCTCCCCTCCCTTGCCTGAGCTGCCCACCCTGTCCCCGTTCATCCCCTCCCAACGTTACCTCTCGGACTTTGCAAATGAGTCGCCCATAGGAGAAGAAAATGACCACGACCGGGATGATGAAGTGGATGACAAACATGTAGAGTACGTAGGACTCGTTGTGGTAGTCAGGGTTGTGGGTGTAGTAGTCGGGGCCGCAGGAACACTGCATCCCCTCCGGCATGTATCTGCCAGTGAGAAAGGTTAGGATCTTCACCAGGACCCTCCCTGGGGGCAACAGGAGGGGCTCAACCTAGGGACCAAATTCTCAATGGGGGATGCTCGAAGAGTGGCATGTGTGTTTTGGGTGAGCTCCTCCCTGGCTTCTCCTCTGCATCCCATGCACCCGGCCTCGCTAGCTCTGCAGCACGCGGCTCCTTTGGGGCCGGCACAAGCCGTGCCGACATATTGCACTTGGGCGCGCAGCATCGGTTTGTTGTGACACTCGCTCCCTCCCACGGGGAATGGGCTATTTATTTCCTTCCTACGTGGCTGAGCACTTGCCTGCCGGGAGCCACCTGGTCTCCCTCTGCGGATGGAGGGATGCCGAGCAGGGATGAGAGCCACCAGCTTGGTGCGTCCAAGCTCTTGAGGGCTTTGTCCACGCTGCTACATGGGGGTGAAGGGATGCACAGCCTGTGTCTGGAGGGGGGCTGGCTCAAAGGAATGCAGCTCAGGTCTGCTTCAGAGCCAAGGACCGGCTGCGTGGGCAGGGATCCCAATTCAAGGCTAGACAGGGACCATCTGGCTATGCCTCACCGCAGGTGGATGGTAAAGGGACTTTGCTGCCCCAAGCCACCTCCTGCATGTGCTCAAAGGGCTGGTAGGGGCTTGCTATGACCCCACAGGGCAGATCTGCAGTGGGGTGTCAGGAGGGGCCGGAGCTGCAGCTTTAGAGAAATCGCCTCCATCTCCTCAGCTTCCTCCCTTATGCTCCAGGTGGCCTTTGGCTGCTGCTTCGGCTCCTGGCCAGGGATGTGGGTGCGTGCAAGAGCCAGAGATGGGCTTCAGCTGCCTGGAGGCCACATTCACTGTAGCCTAGTGAGTAGCCTGTGGCTTGAGCAGCCAGCGTTGCTTCTGTTTTCACCCCTGAATCCTGAGCCTTCAGTCCCTCACCCCTCAGGCTCTGTCCCTTGCTCCACGCAGAGGTGAATTGCAGCGTGTGGCTGCAGCTGGCTGCACGGTGCTGGTCGGTGCTCAGGAGCAGTAAGGCTGGAGCAGGGAAGGGGACTGAGGGGCTGCTGCATCCGAGTGGGGCATTTGTTGCGGGGAGCTGAAATGTGCTGCGGTGTCAGGAGCAGGACAGATGGGCTTGCGGGGAGAGTCGGGCAGGGGTGCTGGGAAAGGTGCTGCAGGGCTCCCAGGAGCAATTCTGGGGTGAGAGCGCATCAGTAAGGCCAGGTTTGCCTCCCCTGAGCAGCCTTGCCTGCTGGCCTGGTTGTCCAAATGCTCTTTATGGTCTGCAGAGAGAAATGGGCTCTTCACAGCATGGGTGAGACGAGCCGTGCCTGTTGAAGCCCCTCTTTCTCTGCAGAACATAAAGGACTATTGCAGCTGGAGATGCTGAGCCTGTGGCTGTCTTTGGCTAGGGGACACTAAGCCATTGTGGGACTGACAGCTGAGGTCCCATTTCTGTTCTGACTCGCCCCATTGCCTCTCTCAGCTCGAGTTTCATGTCCTTTCCCACTGGGGTGTTTGCACAGCAGCTGGGGCTGCTGCTGAGCATCCTTTGACTCACCTGGACCAGCCAAAGAGGGGTGGAGCGGCACAGGAAAAGGCCATTATCCAGGTAAAAGCGATGCCCATCATGGCATGGGTTGCAGAGAAGCGGAAATTTCCCATGGGTTTGCAGACGACGATGTAGCGCTCTATGGCCAAGACGACCAGGGACCACAGGGCGACTTGGCCTGTGGGATGGAGAGAAAGAGAGAGCGTACGGTGGTGGTAAGAGCTTCTCTGGGCTTGATCTCTTCCCTTCATGGTCTCATGGTTGCAGTGAAGAGCAGAGGGAACTGAGGAGTTGGATGAGCAAGGGTTAACCAGCATCCTACTTAATAGCTGAGAATCTCCTGGCCATAACGTGCAAAAGGTCTGGGAGTGGAGCGGAGCATCTGTGCCACAGCGGGATGCTGGTGATGGAGAACGGGAACCATCATGGGGGTTTTAATAATCTAAAAATCAAGGGGGTGAATTCCACCTGGGCGCAAGGAAGTACAATTTCTGGTAAAGATACCAGATGTGTCCAAACCTGTTGATGCCTTTAAATGTGTATTTCAGGAGTCTTCCGCCAGTGCTAGATCAGGGGGAGGTGTACAGGGGAGGCTGTGTGGGTGGGCATGCGTGCACATGTATTTATAAGGGATAATTAAACTTCAGGGGATTGGGAGCGTTTAGTCGGTGCTGTAAGCCTGCTAATGCCCCCAGCTGTGATAATCTGCTGATAACTACACCCTGTGCTAGGATTCGCTGGAGACCTGCTGCTCGCACAGTGACTGCTTCCCATCAAACTTTCTTCCCTGTGAACAGGAGCCTCTTTCTTCTTTACTAGATACAACCATTGGAAGGGCAAATAATGCTGCCTGAAAGCCCACAGGCTCACTTGATCAGAAATGGTGCAGAACCATATGATCTTCTGACTGCAAGACCAAGTCTGTCCTTGGCTTGTATCAGGACATTTAGCTTTGCTTTTGCCTTCCAAAATATACATTTTTTTTTAATTTTTTTTTTTTTTAAATCGGCATCATTCTGGAAAATTGCCCCATTTAGGGGAAAAGAAGTGAAGTCCTCGCAGTGGTTATGGATCTCTGCAGCAAGGATTAGCAGTTGTCAGATCCATCACGAGGTGTTGTGTGGGCCTGGCTGGCTGCGTGGGCACGGGGTGCAAAATGAATTTTCCCTGTTTTGCACGGGGGCTTTCTGCAGGGCGAAGTGTTAGCGGCTCTCATCTCCCTGAGAAATGAAATAAGGAAGCTCCCAAGGGCACCCAAATTGGGTGCAACTGGGACAAGAGCTGAGCAACTGCTGCAAAGCCTGGGCCTGGTTTCCCTAGCTCTGTGCAACCCTGAATCCTCCTTCCCCTCCATGCTGCTGCTCTGCTTTTCTGGTTAAGAGCTGCTACATCTTCCTTTTGCCCCTAGATCAGCTGTGACCCCTCTTCTTGTCTTGAACTTTTCCTCTCCATGCCTGTACCCCTTTTGCAAGGTCCCCCTCCCAAGTGGTCTCTCTCCCAAAGGATGTCTCTTCTCTCCATGAACCCTCCCAAATACTTCACGCTTTCCCAGGAAAAGGCTTTTGGCAAAGATGACTGACATTGATTCAAGGACATGGTGTGATCATCCCCAGCAGGTCTCTGCTAACCGTGCAACTTCAGTGTGAGACCCCCTGCATGCACACTGGGCAGCGTGACCAGATGACCCCAGGCTTGATCCTGCAAACAAGGATCCATTCCTGGCGTTCATTTCCTTGCAGCTGCCCTGCTAGTTGTGCGATGGGTGCTTCTTGGCATCAAGATCAAACTTGCATAAATCTCTCTCTTTATCCCCACCTTCAAGCTGCAGGGAAGCAGCGCCTTGCATGGCGAGCTCTGCCCCATGCAACGAGCCACGACACCGCAGCGGCGTGGGAGATGGCTTTCTGCATGGAAGGGATGCTGCAGGCATCGCAACCATTCCGATAGCATGATGAAGGGGTGGACCTGGGCTCCTAAAGCCCTGAAGAAGCAAGATAACCCACTGCCAAGCCTGGCCCTTAGACCCAAGCTCCCACCACACAGCCCTTACCTCCTAGCGTGGCAAAGAAGCCCTCCACGGCACAGCCGACAGGGCCGAAGACGAAGTAGCCATTCCAGGCAGTGTAGAAGGTGACTGTGAAGCCAAAACAGGCCATGAAGAGGTCAGCCACCGCCAAGTTGACCAAGATGTAGTTGAGCGGCTGCCGGAGCTTCTTGTGTTTGAAGGTGACCAGGAGGGTGAGGAGGTTGATGGGCAAACCGGTGGAGATGAGGAAGAAGATGTAGCAACACACGACGCGGTATTTCCAGGGCTCGGCTAGGTAGTACTGAGGGTACTCGAAGGGGCTTCGCACCACCCCTGTCTTGTTGGACATAGGCACGTAAAAATTGATACCTTCCGTCCCATTCATCCTGCCAATGTTATGGCAGCTGCTTTGCTTTTAAGGGTTTTTTTTAAAAATCAAATGCTCTGGTTTTGTAATTAATTTTGCTTCAACGCCAATTAAAATAAAAAAAAGGAAGCCCCACCCCCCCAATGTTGAAAAATACCCAACTAAAAGATCCTCCCCCCTCAAAAAAAAAGAATTAATTAATAAGAACAACAGTAAATCCTGAGGGGACGGGAGGTGGTGCGCTGCCCCTGCTCCGCCTCAAGGGCTGGCGGTGCCCGCGTGCCAGGGGAGGTTTTATACCCTTCGGCCTCCTCGAGGGAGCGCGGGGGGAGGCTGGATTAGGGGCTCGGCTAACTTTGTATGACAAGGGCAACGGGATTGAGAGGGGTTGATGGTTTAAGCACCCTCTAAGCAGCCAGTTGGCCCCAAAACCTGCATTAAAGCGTATTAATTGCCATTAAGTGTTTAATATTGTTTAAGGAGTTGGGGGGAGGAAGGGATGGGGTAGGGAGCACTTTGGAAGAGGGGCAAAGGCAGGAGGAGCGGTGGTGAGTTGGAGAGCGGCTGCTTTGGGCGATTGATGGGGAAATGGGTCCGTGCTTGGGTCCACAGCAGGTCACAGCCTTTGGGGTGTCCCTGGGTGGCTGAAGGACTCCATGGGAGTGTTTGGGAATTGGGGAGTGCCCAGATCTGCCCCACTGACCTTGGGGACGTCACTAGGGGAAGACTGGACTGAGCTCTGCAGGTCTGAGCAGTTGGCTCAGCGCTGGCTGTTTGGCTGCTCTGTGCTTGGGTGCTTGGTTCAATACGGATACATGTCCCCATCACAGAGCAAAACCAGGCTCTGCTAACGTGGCCAAGGGTCATCTCTGTGCATGGAGCTGGGCAAAAGTAGGAGGGGAAACTGCTTCCCATCCCAAAGGCTGCAATCTTGGTAAACACAGCATTTTGGGGGCGGGTCTGTATTACACCCTGAATCATGCACACTGGTTGTGCTAGAGTGCAAAAGACTGAATTTCCTCCTCTGCCTTTCCTCCTCTCTGGGCTAAAGGATATATGTTATTCAGCTGATCCTCCAAGGATTTCTGGCAGGGAGTACACCATCCAGCAGGGATGGATGTGGCACAATCAGCCCCACGATTCCCTGTCTCCCAGGGAGCTGCTGGTGATCATTTCCCACCTGAGCCTCCTCCCCATCCCAGCAAGTGGGACACCAATCTGGGTTGCATCTTTGCAAGGATTGGCGCGGTTTAGGGAGGGTCCTTAGCCACAGCTCTAAAACCAGCTTGACCAATTGCCGCTACTTGCTGGAGAAGCAGGACCTGAGTGCCCCTGGGGAGGGAAGGTAAAGCCTCAGCAATGCTGATGTCCTGAATTCCCTCCAGAGACAGAGCAGAGAAACCAGCACCAGCCTGTAGCCACACTGGGAGAGCAAGCAGGATGGAAAGAAGCTTCTCCCAGTCTCCTAGCACTCATTATGGGGTGTGGGATCCCCATCCCAGCACACATGAGACTGTGAAACCCTTCTCAGCAGGGTTGGTGCCAGTCTGGAGCACCAATGCTCCATCTTATCCAAGCTCTTTCCCCATTTCTTCCTTCTGGGTCACGGGAGCTCCTTCTCCAGGAGACCTGCCTAAGGCGCCTTAGTGAAGCTCTTCCATTAATCTCTGACATCTGGTGGCGTTAATGGCCCTGATCTGTTAATGCGGTAATCTGTTAGCCTCTTTCTCACCACTGCCCTCTGCCAAGACAAGGTGGATGGAAAAAGTTAGTGCTGTCTTGCTGGATGAATGAGGTCTTCTGCAAGACTGGAGTGTCTCAGAGCTAGATGACAGGAGCGGAAGGCTAAAGGGTGTGGGTGGGATGAATGATGTCCTAATTGCTGCCCTGCTGATCTGTCTGCAGAGATCCAAGAGGAGCAGAACTAGGACACGGTGAGAGTAAGTGGGTCACATCAGCCTCGGGTGCCCTGGGACAAGGACTCCCCATGGGATGTCTGTGCCTCTCAGAAGTATCTCACTGCATGTCCTGTGTATCTACCAGTCATGAAGTTCCCAGTCTAGGTCTTCCTTGGGGGGAAGAGTTTCTTGTGGAGAAGTCCCATGGCCTTACTTCTCATAAAGCTTGCCCTGGAGGTATTTCATGCCTCTCCTGGCCATAGTCAGGCTTCTGGATGTACAAAAGTTGGGAACATTTTTGCAGAATTAGTTGAATATTAAAGGAGAACCCAGATATGCGAATACACATAAACAGATGTGCATCTCAATTCCAGTGTGTTCCTCCCAGCTTCCATGGTAGAAAGCAGCTCTTTTCAGCTAAAAGATTTCACTATGATGGTCCACCTTCAAAAGACTTGGACCTCGCTGTCAGTGCCAGCAGCATCTGAAAGCTTTGGTGCTTCTCCAAGGTTTTGTATACAAACACGGTTATCTCATGGGAAAGTTAATTTTCATCTCCCAGAAAGTAATTTTCACCTCCCATCTCCGTGAGACTTTTGCCACATCTTTGTGGTGTTCCGTCCTCTAAAGAGTACAGAGTTGTACAAACGAAGCACAGCTGTGGGGAGAAGAGGTGAAATAACAGTCTGTTTTGGGTGGTGGGGGAAAGGATCAGCGGTATTTTTTCCACAGTTTTTCTCCTGGATCAGTGGACTCCCTCCACTCTTTCAGCTAAGGTATGGTGCAGATTCGGCTTCGTATGTGGTACCCAGAAATCTTTCGTACCAAGAACTGCCAACAACTGGACCAAGAGGACTTTCACCTGACCTTCAACTAGATCTGGACCAGGACCTTTCCCCTTTTTGGGAGCTGAATATGGAGCAGGTAAGCCCGAGTCACCTCTGTTGTGCTAACAAGGGGCTGTCCCTTCCCAGCTGTCCTCATGGACTCAGCTTTCTCCCCCTGTGAGCTGAGGCCACTGTTTCAGCCGACCTCGAGGCTGGTGGATTTAGAGCTCTCTGCAGGTCAGCGACAGCCGGAGCGATGCTGAAGGCCTCGCATAAACTCAGCGTAGGAAAATGACACCGGAGAGGATAGCTGGTGCCTCCACGACGTGTCCTGAATGCAACCTCAGTTCCCTCTTCATCTCTGTCGCAGAAATGGAAAGTGATGCCTTTAATTTGGTGTCTCTTAGCAGGGGAACTTTATAGGCTCTCTCCCAGAGAGCTCTCAATTGTCTTCTGTGCTGACTCTACAACAAAGAAGGCGATAGCAAAATTCAGGCCCTGTTTAATGCAAGAGGAGAGGCTTGCTTTGTTTGTGTTTGTCCTTAGGAAAAAGAAGGGGTTTCTTCCTTCTTGCAGGCTTTTTTCTGCTTTGCTAAGCTCTTTGAGATGAGATTGTCTCTTATTCATTGTTTGTCAGCATATTGCATGAGCTGCTCTGGGCTTTCATGTCCTGTGTAAAGCAAGAAATGATAATTATAATCAAATAACTAACTTGCACTGAGCTGATACGGTTGGTTCACTGGGCTCGAGCGACAGGCAGAGCAAACCACGTGGATGTGCCGAGGGAGGTGGGTTTCCCGGAGCGGTAGCAGCTGGGAGCCCTTTGGGGTGCCTCTCCCCACCCCTGTGCAAGGCACGTCGTTGCTGCTTGGGCAAAGGCACAGGAGCGACTTGCCCAAGGGCACACAGGGAATGACTTGCAGAGTAAGGTGTAGAGAAACACAAAAGCAGTAGAAATCAGTCATGAAGCAAACATCTGTGCCTAAATTCTGGTGATGGACTAATGCACAGGACCTTAAACCTTGGCCATGAGCACCGATGCTGAATGCAAAACGGTGCTGAGCTCGCTTTTGTGCTTTTGGCTGGTTTTGTAACGTGCTGCCCTGAATCTCCCTTCTGGAGGGGCTTGTTCCTCCCTGGTGGACAGGAGAAGAGGGAGGAAGGTGCGAATATTACAGTGCCTCCCGGTACCCCCAGCTGCCCTGGGAAGACCTCGTTTCCCCATATCAGATAGCAGCCACGCGTGGCCGCTGCGCTGAGCCGCTTACGCCGGGCTTGTGAGCTCCCTCACCAGGAAACGGGTTAAAGAAAGATAAAGCTGGAGTGCTATAGAGACCATATGGAGGGGAAGAAAACCCTTTATCCTGTAATTGGATTCGTTCCCCGGCGGAGGTGAGGCTGAGTGGAGCTGACAGGTCGTGATGGGCGAGGCGCTGCCAGCTGCCCCATCCAAAGCAGGATGTGTGTGCACAAACTTGTAGATCAATCCATTAGAGTGGATCAAATAGATTTAAATGTGTGGCAGGGAGAAGGAGGACACAGATGTATTTACAATTTGGTTCGGTGGGCCTGTTCCTCCCCCAGCAGGGATTAACTCGGCCATGGCTGGCGGCTCCGAGGAGGCAGCCGTGCCCTCTGTCGGCATCCACAATGCTGGGGCTGGCTGCCTGCTGCTCCTCTGGGCTTGCACGGTTGTGTTCATCCAGGACAAGGATCTGGTCGTGCAGGGGGAGGTTCTTTGTACCATGTCCTTGCTTCTGTCCCCAAAAATGAGAGTGCACAGAAGCCTGTCTCCTGCCTTGCTCATAGCTCCCCAAAGGGCTGCACCCACAAGGTTTGGGCAGGAGGAACCCCACCTCCTGTTTTCCGTGCAGGTTTCCCATCACAACTCCTCCTCCAGGCTCTCCCCACCAGCACAGCCTCGCAGGGGGTGGATACACCAGGGCCAGAAGGCAGCTGAAAATTGGGGAGAGCTTCACCACTGCCAACCTCATCTCATGTGCATGGTATTTGCAAGCAAGCAGGCCCCTGTCACCTCCTAGGCTATTGCTCCTGCTGTTGATCCAGGTAACATCTCTACAATCACTGTAGGATTTCCTTGGAGAGATAGAAAGTCTTTGGGACCTGTCATTTTCTTGCCAAGGAGCTGAGCAATCCTGGCTCAGCTGTGAACCTGCACCGCTCCGTGTGGTGCTGTCAACACTTCTAACTAGGTGATAAACCAGGGCTGTAGCAGAGTAGGCAGGTTTGCAAGACAGTCTCACCAGCCACGCAGCACCACGGGACGAGCAGCCAGCACAGCCCCGCAAATCCAAGCAGCACAAGCACACTTCTCTGTATGTGAGCAGCTGTGCAAGGGAGCAAGCCATCCTCTGATGAGGGTGATGGCCAAAGCAAGGG